TTTTATATATACACGATTGATTAAATTGATTAAATGTGTTAATCATCATTGACCAATCACAAATTCCATTATTTCCATGTGATGAGCATTTATCATACAATGATAAATAAATCTTTTTCCAATCAAAGAGAACTGTTTAGTAAGAATAGATTTTGTTATTTTACATTTTAAGAGCTATTTAATTTCAATCGAATTAATTATTGTTCTTTGTTATTTTATCATATTACTAAGAATGCTTTTTGGTGGTGGCAAAACATCTTTTTCTTGATATTTAGTTAGTGTGATGAAGATCATACTGTTGATTTTTGTTTATTTTGCTTTTATAAGAAAAGCATCATTGTTTAACTAAGCTAAAAATAAAGCACTATGCATTTAATTAATTAACAATCGAATTGATTATTTGTTAACTTTTTAAGAAAAGCATTATGCGTTTAATTAATTAATTGACAATTGAATTGATTATTTGTTTATTGCTAAAAAAAAAGCCAAAAAACAAGATATTTTGCATTTAATTAATTGACAATTGAATTGATTATTTGTTTGTTGGTCAGTTTCTTGTCAACAACAATAAGGAAATTATTCACTAATTATACACTTTCAAAAGAGTCTTGGTTAAGGGGAGTTTTTTAACAACGAACGACAGTTCCTGTTTTTTAATTGTGACAACAGAGCATCTTCTTTTCCTCTCAACAATAAATAAAAATTGAAATTGATATATAAAGCATATAAAATGGCATTAGCGTTTTGATTAAAAGGTTTAAATTTCAAAAAAAAAAAATCAAATCTACACTTAACTGCATAACATAATAATTGTCTCCTACATGTAAATACATAATTAACAGCTCTTTGAAATCATGGATTATAGAATCGATAGATATGCCATTTCCCATTTTCTACAACCAAATCCAGGAAATCAACCTGAGCAATCAAGCAACAATATCTCATTTCTTTCCACATACTCAAAACGAAGTGAAATCAATCAAGGATTGGGGAATACACCATTGATGTGTGAACCACCTTCCTCGTCCCCCTTACCTTTTTAAATGTGGCGTCCTTTGAGAAAGCTTCAAGAACTCTCAGATGAATTCAAGAAAAAAATACTTTACGATCATCCATCTATTCCTTGCGCCTATTGTTCTATGCTGATGATGAGAGCTGCAGTTAAATGGATTGATTACGATCCTGACGAAACTTATGATATAATGATAGTGTTTCCAGACCTCCAATTACCTTTATGTGTAAACAACAGGGGCCAAACCAAGATCGCTGTATGTTCATCATGTAAATCTACAAAAAATTGCCACTTTCCACCTGCCCTAGTGGTGATACATGAGGAAATCAGTGCAGTTCCAATGAAGCATCGCAAACACCTATCTCCAATTCATTTGTGAAAACCTACCATTCAGTGACCAATGCTCCAACCCCATTCTTTCGACAGCACTTGACACGTTGAATTTTCAAGTGGTTGACGACGGCTCCAATAGTTTGTCTTTCAAAAATCACACAAACCTCCCGCAATTGATCACGATCCAAGAAGGAGCAAGGGTTATGTTTCTGAACAATAAGCTGTTCAAGCACAACATTTGCAATGGGACAATAGGGGTTGTTACCAAGAGTATAGACTATGATAACATCGAGGTCACCTTCCCAACAAATGAAAATATTGTCAAGATCAATGTTCAAAAAACCACCGCAAACTTTGAAATTAATGGAATACATGCCTCAAGACACCAATTCCCTTTACAGAACGCCTTTGCATCAACCATCCACAAGACACAAGGCCTAACGTTGCTGCACGTCACCTTGACCATAGATCAAAATATGTTTGCTCCTGGTCAGATCTATGTGGCAATGAGTCGATCTCCTTCCT